CTGCTGAAGTTAAACTCTGCTCAGGTATTTATCATGTTTGAAATCTAATGGGGGAAGTAAAGCTCAGAATGAAATGCATGAGATACTCCACCAAAGCAGTTACATATTCCTCTCTCGTGCATTTATATTGGGGCAGGGGGGAAATCATTGGAGACTGAATCAATTTTAGAAGATGCTACAAAAGTTTCTCAAGCTCAGTGATAACATAAAAAATACGCAGAAAGTGCTGTTTACTCAGCATTAGAGCTAGGAGTTACTCTATCTGTAGGTCTTCAACAAACAAAAGTTAACTACACTTGTCTTGAACAGTTATAGACCAGTCTCAAGACAAAGCTCTTCGTTATTTTGCAAGTGAAGCTGCGGTGAAGCATAGTTATTACTTGCTGAGAGCATAATGTGTATTACTATAATCAAAATACCAATATCCTGCCCTGAGTCCAACAAAGTCCCATAATTTTATACTTCTAAAGAAATCATACTCTTTCTAGATGAGCAACTTACCCTTAAAGTAACATAAAAAGCTGAACGCATACTTGAGAATTATTGTTATATTGATGGATTCAAATTTATCTGAAACTATCCCCAAAACTATCACCTTTCATTGCTCCTGATCATAAATCAACTCATTCACACAATTTATTGTTTCATTTGGAGATGGTCCCTTCAACACAGATATGGAAATGCCACATCATATTTACATAGCTTACTCTAAAGATACTTTCAATATCAAACAAGAGAGATACCTGAAATTAAAAAGTGATTAAAACATAAATAACTACACTGCAATACAATTAAACTTATCTTTAATGTCGATGTGGGTACTGAGCCACTATTGCCACAGTATGAAATCTTTTTTTTTTCCCCTCTTCATATTATGAATGCAAACATTAAGCTAGCTTACTATATTATGCTCTGAACATTTGCACAAAAACCTAAAAAAATGCTCGAGTAGAGCTGAAAACTGTTTTTCTAAATCCTTTTAAGAATGCTTGTCCTTCACATTTCCTCCATGACCCCTTACCGCTCCACATGCTCTAAATACTAGCCTCCCTGAACCATCCTGTAAAATCATATCCATTATCAGCAACCTCTTCATGGACTCCTGAATTCCCCAGAGATCATTCCAGCAGCCACAGTAAATAAATATTCAGCCTACACAATGCATAAAAGCATCACTGGGGTTGATGATGTATATATCGAGGACCATAAACATATGTCATAGTTAACAAACCTTCAAATATCTAACACTTCTGCTTAGAGTGCTTTAAAAATGTAAGACAATTAATCCAAAACTTCCAGGTACTAGCAGGTACAGTAAATAGTTTACTCAACACATTGCTGGCTTAGGTGTTATCTTTGACCAAAGTTCTGAGATTCTCAGACTGTAAACCAAGCACTTAGTTCAGTAGTATAAATTATTTCTTCCATTATCATATGTTTTACAAACTTTATCGCACACGCTTTAGAAGATTCTCTGAAGCCAAAACCACAGCAGTTCATTATCCAAAAGAATTCCAGTTAAGTTTCTCCAAAATAAGTAGGATTACCTTGCCGTAGTAAGAAATGGCTTCTTTATATTTATCTATGATGTCTTCAGGACTTAGGCAATTCTTGGCACGTCCAATCTCAGCACTCGTATCTGCATTTATTCCATTTGAAGTCAGCGCACCTAGAACAGAACAGGGCAAGAAATGAGCAGAAGGACTTTTAGCAAATACTGAGTATCTAAGAAGAAAACTAGGATATGCTGCAGGTTTGATCAAAGCATACACAAAGAGTACTTGCCCTACCTAGAAAACACTAGTTCTGTTTTACTATGCTATTTTAAAGAGTACAAATGAAAAATGGATTCAATCATAAACCAGCAAATAAGAAATAATGTTTCACTTGGTAAAAAACAAATATATTCATAATCTTTTACACTTATCTGAATATTTAGATTATGAATAAAATATTAGATTGCTAAATTAGATTACGGCCACATCTGAATATGCAATTTTAATCTTTGAATTATTCCTGTTCTACTTTAAAATTGTATATCTAAAGCACACTTAAAAAAAAGTGCAAGTTTTTTATAAACTAATTATTACAACACTGACCTTCTCCTCTGATCATTTAAAACAAGTATTTCTCTTCTCTAGGTCTAATCGCAGAAAACCAAGTATTACATTGTAACAAATGCCACCACTTTTAAAAAAAAAGTAAAAAATTACCTGAGGCTCAGACAGAACAGTAAGAAAATGCTTTTCTTATGTAAAAAAGAAGGTGAGAGACAGAAAGAGTCTTTCTATACATAAGCGATAAGAATCTGAAATAGAAGCTAAGGAAATCCAGGGTATTACAAAGGACATGAAAATTTTATCTCTAAAATTTAATTTTATTGCATAGTTAACATAATAAAAATTGAAAACATACATCAAAGGCTTGGCAAGGCTTTATACCTTTTTTTATGTTACTTAATTAATTCGGAGGATTATATGGTAATTTATTTCTCCAAGAGGTTTCTCTGCTAAGATGGCAAAGAAATCTTTATGTTTCAGAGCTGGACCTAACTCTCAATAGACAGTTAAAAACTACTGCGCAAGATACTTTCTAGTCCCTCTGTTTATTTAGAAATATGTTATTTTACATGCTCAAATGCCAAAGCAACTTTTTTATATGCTTATCAACCTTTAAGAATCATACCAAGCACATCTGTAGATTAATACCTTAGGGTTTTTATGGAAGTTAAGTGCAAAATCTTTGTTAGTGATGACTGAAAGAGTACCATGACACTACAAGACTACATGTGACCATTCAGGTTTGTCGGTTTAAAAACAACAAAAAAAAATTAAAATCCTCAATATTCATGAGAAGAAACAATCTTGATTAGAATTTACAGGGACACAATCATGAAACTACATTATTTATTTTGTGCCAGTTACCCTTCAGTCTCTTTGCTTCCTTAAGATTTTATAGCCAAAAACTCAAACATCAGGAATCAGTACTGGTTTGGGCAAGTGGCAGTAACTATCTATACAAATGCAAAACATATGCAAGTAATAAAAGAAAATACTTTGGAAACATGCAGGAAAATAATGTACCTGGATCAATGAGAACTTCTTGTGCCCCTAAAAGGAGGAACAAAAATGATTTTTTTTTTCAGCTTTAAATATAGCCAACAAAATAAGCTCTTATAATGTTTTATAACTAACATCAGGCTTGAACAAAATCATAAGATTTATTAGGATCATCATTGCTATTTTGAAGGACTACCAATTATAATTCCAGTAGTCACTATATGTTAAATCTCATTTTGTTAAAAAACAAATATAAAAATCTCATAAACTTGCAATGAATTCTAAGACACATAAAGAATTGAAGAATTTTCAGTGTATAATTTAAAGCCATATCCTTTTTCTTTATTCTTCTTTTAGTTGGCAAGTTTCCGTCACAATCCACTTACTATATTTTAATATCAGGTCCTACAGTACTTAAATCTCCTTGTGGGAGCTCATTTAATCTACACAATACTCTAGAATAGCATTTTCAAGTAATTGTATCCCTTTCAATTGCCATTAATTTCACTGCATCAAATTTTCTGAACACTTGAGTCATGTCAACCCAACAAGCCAGACTATTCATATAAAATAGTTCCCAAGAGTATTGCAAAGTTGGATTACCAGATATATAATGCCTTGTTGCCCTAAACTTTGATTAAAGATGGCAAAATTGTTAAGATCAAGGGTTAAGCAGTCAAAAAACACTGCTTTATGAGTGAGACAGGACCTCCCTTCAGTAGATTTGCTCAGACTCCAGAATAGTGAAGTAGAGATTTAGAGCTAGATCAAAAAGATACTCCAACACTTCACTCAGGTGTCCTAATTCTGCTTGAGGAAAGAGGAAGGTCAGGTGACAAAATTAAGAGCTTAGCACTTCAAAAAAAAAAAAAACACGCAATAGAGAAACCCAAAACAGTTAGAAAGCTAAACATAAAGCAATCTAAATTCAGCTTATTCCACATAAAAATCACATAGCCAACAGACCATGGCCAGGTTCCCAGCCAACAGGAACTAAGCAACTCAAGATCTTCTTCTACACTGAAGGCTGCAGAGACTAACCCAGCCACTCAAGGGGACACAGCCTTAAGCTCTTGCCCTACAAACAAAAGGTTTTATGAACATGAGAAGTCATACTTCTTTAAAACATCAAAGTTCTCTTCTCACAATCAGCAAGACACTGCAGTTCAAGGGATCATGGCAATGACCAAGGAAGAAACCTGTCTTTGGAGCAGGCAAGATTCCATGTCTCCTTCCATCAGACAAGTACTTTAAACACTATGTTATCAACTAATTCTCTTTTGAATGAGATATTCCTATCAAAGGAGTTGCAAAAGAAGTCGAAGGGTACACCAAAGAAAACCCCAGACAATATTCTGCTGGTTACAGATAAGTATGAAATATATTGCGATTCTGCTTAGTAGGAGAAAAAAAAAAAAAAAAACCCCCCACAACACAAAAAAAACACTGCCCTCTTAAGCTTGTGCCCTATATTATACAAAGAGAGACGATATTAATGCTTCTCTTTCCAAAGCTGTTTCTATATAAAGCAGACATCGCAACATTTTTTGAGCAGCCAAGTCCTGTGCTGCCAAATGGTGGAAATCATAGGAGATTGAAGAGAAAGATGTTTCTCTTGACTGGGTCTGGGCACAAAGGCAGCACCAAGAAACCCCATCCTGTAAAGCCTGAAGTACAGGCACAAGAAGAGGTGCAATTCCAGACACACCAGGAAGCAATAAAGGTAACTCTCACACCTATATGCCTCAAAAGTAAGCACAAATTGAATGTCAGTTCCGAGTATGGCATTTCTTGATTTGCACAGAATTTGGAACCCCCTTTTGTTTCTGGCTTTATCCTACAGAAAGATACACTGAAATTTGTTTCCCAGATTAAATACTGTCCTCACAAAATTAATTGTAACAAAGTAGATTATAAACAAAGGTGTAGTTTGAAAAGATTTTTAAACGAAAGGCACTGCAGAGTCAAAAAAAGGTAGTGAAAAGAAACTTTCAGAAAACCTTGTAGGAAAAAGCCACCACAACAATAGCTGTTCAGCTAGACAGAGTTCAGCAGTTCAGATCTCAAAACATTACGAGATTATAAACAGAGTTAGGGAACACTATCTAATGGACCATGAAGTAATAGTTTCACCTGGAAGGGATGACAAAAAACCTGCAATCAGTTTTTCTTCACACAAAAGTCATTTGAAAAATCTTGTCATATGAAACTAAAGCATTTTTAAAATACGACCACACTAACAAGTTTGCAAACAGGCCTTTAAGTTACAAGACAACTTATACAGAGAAGCAGCAACGATACACTCAAAATATATTTTATTCAATTATTCTGATAGCTGTGACTTATTTGTCACCTTCTTTAGTAACAAGGAATACCCATTACAAACAGATTGCAATATCTACCGTTAAATATTCATTGAAAAGTGGACAAAGGTCAGTAACTGTGTGAAATTATACTGTAACTGCCAATATAAAATCCACTCATAGGTCATGGGACCAAATGCACAGATTTTAAATGACTAGGTATGAAAAATTAGTATTCTTTCCTGAAATAAGGCAATTTTACTATCACAATTATCTGGTGTCAACATAGTTTGTAATAAAGATAATACAAAGGAAGTATTTACTAGATCGTGACTTATAGATGAACAAAGATGGGTAGCTTTTTTTTTTTAGATGAAGGAATTCATTTTGATCACATTGCACACAAGAGTACTTAGCACCAGCACTTAAACCCAGCTTCTCTTTGTTTCAGTACTGTGTAAGAACCAGAGTATACACCTAGAAACAGCTGTGCTGGGTTAGACCAAAGGCCCATCTAGTTTATAATAATCAATAAATTTTTCTTTCACTACCCTAACCAGCCTCTCCTGGAAACCAGAGAAGCTTTCAGGAGCCTTAACACTGTGGTCCAAGTGTTGGGTTATGCAATTAAAGGCTCAGCTCCACAAACACAGAGGAACTGTGACAGTGACAATCAGCTGAACCCCTGATCAGAGCCAACAGAGCTGTCCGAGGGTGAAACCCACCAAGATCAGTTAATATGAGCAGCTCTCTGGATCACCTTACAGACAGATTGGGGAGGGGTTACTGCCTACAGGGATACGGGGTTCATTATAGGATACGGGGCAAGACTGTCTTGGGATAGTACAAGATTTCTTATGGGATGTGCAGGGAACGAACCAAAGACAAGGAAAAGGACGGATCAAGGCAATTTACAGAACAAGCATGGAAAAACAGAGGAATAGGGGGAGTGCGTGTGTGTGTGTAGGTCTAGGTACCAACAACTGGAATGGGGCCCTTGGTCTCAGAGGCTTGTAGGTGCAGGTGCCAGGAACTGGCGCAATCCAGCAGCCAGCTACTGGATAGACTGAGTTACTAAAAGCAGCTACCGGATGGATCCATCCGTACTACTAACAGGCTTTCATCCTGATCAGCCGGAACGGGGAGCAGGATCAGGCTGTGAGTGCTGCCTGTGTTCCTATGAGTGCTGTGTTTCCTGTCCGTGTTGACCTGCGTGGCTCTGTGTACATACACTCTGTGTGTGCCTGTACGCCTATTGGGAATGCAAGCTCAGCCTCATGACTGGCTGGACCTGGGGACGTGGAGTTGCAGCAGCTTTGCCTCTATCACACTACCAGATCTGCTAACTCCTAACAACAAGGAGTTCCACGTCATACCTCTGTATACACTGGATAAAGAATAATTCCTTTCATTTGCTTTTCCATCTGCTAGCTCTATTCGAAGTCCTCCAGTTCTTCTGTTGGAAGAAACACTGAATCTCTGATCCCTATCCATCCTCTTCCACAAGGTTCACCATATTACAGAGCTCTCCCATATTTCTCCTCAGCCATCTCTTCTACAAAACTGATGAGTCTGAGGCAATTCAGTTATTCTTTGTACAGAAACCGTACCAAGATCATCTTTGTTGCCAATCCGCAACCTCCTTCCAGTAGAAAAATGGGAGACAAGGAATATGAACACCCTTTGGGGATGGAAAACAGAAATGGCATAAAATATTCCAGATGCAAGTGAACCACAGACTTGGTTTTTTTCCTCTGTTAGTCTCCTATTAATTTCTAAAATATTTTAAGCAGATCATTTCTCAAAGAATGTCTACCATCAATGTTAATACAATCCTCAGACTAGTTGTGCAACCTGAGAGTTTAGAAAAAGTATATTAAATCTTAAAAATTATGTTGGTTTATTGGTATTTAGTTAACCAAATCTATTTATTAAATGTTGACTTTAGAATAGCAAAATACCTCTGAATAAACGTACCTAACATTCTCCCTCATACACGCAGCTCTCCCACATCATATGTACTTTATGAAAACTGTCTGCATCTCCTCCAGCAAAATTCAAACTAATGCAGACACTACCAATAATCACATTAAGAGATCAAAAGCTTTGCAACTCTATGCAAAGCACACACGTCAACATTAACACCAAAACAGTAGAAAAGTCATTAATGTAACAATCTTAAAAAGAAATACAGCTGTCCCCTCCCACCCCTCTCCTTTTCTAAAGGAGTTTATCCTGTCATTGGTACAATTTTACAGAGTTAGGAAGTATGGAGGAAGTCAAAATTCAAACTAATGCAGACACTACCAATAATCACATTAAGAGATCAAAAGCTTTGCAACTCTATGCAAAGCACACACGTCAACATTAACACCAAAACAGTAGAAAAGTCATTAATGTAACAATCTTAAAAAGAAATACAGCTGTCCCCTCCCACCCCCCTCCTCCAGTTTATCCTGTCATCGGTACAATTTTACAGAGTTAGGAAGTACGGAGGAAGTTTTCAGATGTTCAGTGGTGACAAACAGAATAAAAAAAGAAATCCTGTCCTTACCTGGTCTGTGCCTGTTGCCTGCCTCAGCAGAAAGAGAACCTCCTTGTGCCCTGCGAGATCCAACTTTACCTCCAGTACCACCTGGATAATGATAGATGACTGACGCTGAGCATAATCCCTCAAGAGCAGCTGTAGAGTGAAGAAAAAAGCCAACAGATTGGTAGAGATACTTGCAAGAAGTGAAGTATCATGTACTAAAGTCTATTTACACAAACATAAAGCACGCCTCAAATTGGAGACCTAGAGACTACAGTCATGGAAAAGCCCGAGATACTCAATGTCCTTTTCACCTCTGTTTTCACTGGTAAGGTTTACCCCGAGACCTCCCAGGGCCCCAAGACTACTAGCAGAATCTGTAGGAGTACACACTAGCCACAGGAGACGAAGAGAGACATACGGAGCACTTAATCCAATTGGACGCAAATCCACAAAACCAGGTAAGATGCACCCATGGATGCCAAGAGAGCTGGCCAATGTGAGACCACTCTCCTATCACCTCCAACAGGTCATGCCGGTTGGGGGAGGTTTATAATGACTGGACAAAGGGAAACATTGTACCCTTCTTCAAGAAGGAAGTCTGCAGGCTCCTTGGAAAGGCTATAAAAAAATCCTTCTGGAAGTCATTTCCAACCACATGAAGGACAAGAAGGTGACTGGGAACAGCACACATTGATTTATTAAGGATAAATCAGTCCTCGGCAACTTCACTGCCTCCTATGATGAGATGATTAGCTCAGCGGACAAAAGAACAGCAGTGGATGTTGTATATTTTGACTTTCACAGGACCTTTGGACATGGTCTCCCATAGCATGCTTATAGCCCAATCGATACGATTTGGATAGCTGGCCTATGAAGTAGGTGGAAAATAGGCTGGACAGCCAAGCTCAAAAGATTGTGATCGGCAGTACAAAGTTCAAACAGCTGCCCGTTGCTAGTGGTGTCCCTCAGGGATGAATACTGGGGACAATCCTCTAATGTCTTCATTAACAGCCCGGATGATCGTACAGAGCACTCCCAGAAAATTCCTGAGTGATACCAAATTGGGGAAACAGTAGGGCAGGCCTTCAATGCAGAGAGAACTTGACAGGCTGGAGATATGGCCGACAGGAGCCTCATGCAGTTGAAGAAAGGCTCATGCATCTCAGTTGGGATAAGCCTATGCAGCAATGCAGCCTGGGAGCTGACTGCCTGGAAAGCAGCTTTGCAGAAAAGGACCTGGGGGTCCTGGCGGACAACAACTTAATGGCAATTAATAGTAGGTTCTTGCAACAAAGGTGGCCAACTGCACACTGGGCTGTAATAGCCACAGTGTAGCCAGCAAGTGAAGAGAAGTAATTATTCTCCTCTATTCTGCATCCAAGAGACCACGTTTGGGGAATTGCATCCAGCTTTGGAGTCCCTAGTACTAGAAAGGATTTAACATCCTGAAGCAAGTCCAGTGGAAGGCCATCAAAATGATCAGCGGGCTGGAGCCCATGACATACAAGAAGCAGAGAGCACTGGCTTTGTTCAGCCTTAAAAAACAAGAGGCTAAGGAGAGATCTTACTGTTGTCTTTAAACACCCAGTGGGAAGGTACAGAAGAGATGGAGTCAGATGTTTCTCAGAGATGCAGTAATTGGATGAGCGTCAATGCAAGTTGACACAGGAAATTTTACTTTAATGTAGGAATAATTTATGTTTTGTTACTGGGTTTTTTAAAACTACAAGCAGCAAAACATTAGAACAGGTTTCTCAGAGATTGTAGAACTTCCATCCTTAAATATACCTAAAACTGAACAGGTCCCTGAGCAACCTGATTTAACTGGATGTAATATGAGCAGGAGAACAGACCTGGGGACCTCCACAGGTCACTTCCAAGCCAAATGATTCTATGAGTCTGCAAGTATAATTTGGCAGTCCAACAGATAGGCCTTAAAATATTTTCATGCTCTGCACAAGGAGAAAAGTTCTCCTTTCCTGCTTGAAGAATCCTGAGCCATTTAACCTTTTGGAATAGCAGAAGGAAAGAAGCGGAAGGTCAGACAGTGTTAAGGTTTTCATAATATGTAACCTACAGAGCCATTAGGAAGATAAATGGATTTCCAAGTAGAATGAGAAAGGTAAAAGCAGAACTGGAGTCAGCAATTGTCCTGAAAGGGTATGAAATTGAGACACAGAAATTGTGCTCAAAGATCACTTGTATATCCAATAA